TTTTCTGAAGAAGGTTCCAGACCTGAAACGTCAGCTTTCCTGCTCCTCTGATGCTGCTTGGCCTGCTGTGTTCATCCAGCTCTACACCTTGTTATGATCAATCATACAGCAGTACATTCACCTTTCTCTGTGTTCACACAGCCACTGATGCATCACTGTTACCAATGTAGCTTAACTGGTAAATAGTTTTGTCAAACGATTTTAAATCATTTTCAGTTATTTAAAACAGGGTTGTACACAGGCAGGAAATGAGTCAATTATTGTTCCAATAATCATATTTTGTAAGAAGCACAATGTTAACTTAGTTATAACAAAACATTATGATTTTATAGTCTTGAATATCCCACGATGGTCAATAGTTAATTTACCAATTTACCATTGTTAAATTCAGCATAATATTGGCTTGTGACAGATTTTGTGCTCGAAACAGAAACAAGTAATTTTGCAAGAAAACATGACAAGACGCAGTCTTATATTCTTACTGAGTTTTGAGCACAATTTGCAGCTGAATTACACATTAAAGCTGAGTCAAAGTAGAAACATTTGTCTGATTGCACAATGCCTAACAGGTATTAGTAACTTACTGGGTACTCCAATCGCCCCAAGTACAGGGCAGTAAATGAATTCAACATCAGCGAGTGTTGGAAACAGATTGAATGGATACTTCATACTCAGAGGAAAGCAGTTATAGCTTATCAAAAAGCAATCCAAGCTTATCTGGAACTATGATCATCATTTATACATACAAAACAGATCCCCCAGGGGTACAAATTGGCTGGATGATCATTGGTATTAGTTCCAGTTCTTTTAACAAACATATCTGAAAGAGACATATAGCATCAGAATAAACATTAATACTGAAATACAAGAGTTAAATCATGGAAAGAAACAAACAAACATACTTCAGGGTTCGGCATACTGAGAGCGTGAGTAACAGAGCGGTGGTGTGAAAGATAGTGATTTTTTTTTGTTTGGTTTAACCTCTACAACCCCAACAGCATCTCATATCAGATAGGTAATTTATTTCTTATTGTCATTATCACACTACCAAAATGAACAATGAGCCAGTGAAGAGTCAGTGAACAATTGAACTCATTCAAAGAAGAGACAGTGGCAGAAAAAAAGTGGAGATTTTCCATGAACCAGAAAACAGGGTAACTGACAGATGGAGTTCTTTGAATGAATAAACATTAAGAGATTATCGTGAAAAAGATAGGATTAACGTTAAAAAAAAGTCAGATCTAAATACATTACAGAACCAAGTCTAACACAGGTTGTATAAAAGAAACATTAAACTGAGAACAAAAGAGGCGAGTAGTGATCAAGCCAAATGATGGTAAGAATACTTTTGATTTTATATGTTTTATATATTTTTCGTGAGCATTTTTGAACATAACTTGTTTCATTAATTGGCTTATAGACTGTAACTTACCAGTTTAGACGAACACTGGGAATGGCTTTAATTCCAGAACTTCGTTCATCGAATTAACTCTTGGACATTTGGTTGAACTCACAAAGCAAAAAGCTCTGAGCCCACAACAAAAGTGGAATACAGCGGATGCTGGAATTCTGAAGTAAAAACATAAACTACTCAAAATGAGGCATGGAATTCAGGGAAATTTGGCTGTCTGGATAAAAAACTGGCTGTCCAGTAGAAGACAGAGGGTGGTAGTAGATGGAAAGTATTCAGCCTGAGCTCGGTGACCAGTGGTGTTTCACAGGGATCTGTTCTGGGACCTCTGCTCTTTGTGATCTTTATAAATGACTTGGATGAGGAAGTGGAAGGATGGGTTAATAAGCTTGCCGATGACACGAAGGTTGGTGGGGTTGAGGAATTGTGGACAAAGTGGGGGGCTGTTGTAGGTTGCAACGGGACATTGACAGGATGCAGATCTGGGCAAAGAAGTGGCAGATGGAATTGAACCCAGAAGAGTGTAAAGTGATTCATTTTGGAAGGTGGAATTTGAATGCAGAATACAGGGTTAATGGCAGGATTCTCGGCAGTGTGGAGGAACAGAGGGATCTTCGGGTCCACGTCCATAGATCCCTCAAAGTTGCTACACAAGTTGACAGGGTTGTAAAGAAGGCGTATGGTGTGTTGGCTTTCATTGGCAGGAGAATTGAGTTTAAGAGCCGTGAGGTTATGATGCAGCTCTATAAAACCCTGGTTAGACCACACTTGGAATATTGTGTGCAGTTCTGGCCACCTCATTATAGGAAAGATGTGGAAGCTTTAAAGAGGGTGCAGAGGAGATTTACCAGGATGCTGCCTGGACTGGAGGGCAGGTCTTCTGAGGAAAGGTTGAGGGAGCTAGGGCTTTTTTCATTGGAGCGATGAAGGATGAGAGATGACTTGATAGAGGCCTACAGGATGATGAGAGGCATAGATAGAGTGGATAATCTTTTTCCCAGGGCTGAAATGACTATTATGAGGAGGCATAATTTTAAGGTGATTGGAGGAAGGTATTGGGGAGATGTCAGAAATCGGTCTTCACACAGAGAGTGGTGGGCATGTGGAAAGCGCTGCTGGCAGTGGTAGTGGTGTCAGATACTTTAGAGACTTTTAAGCGACTCTTGGATAGACATATGGAGGATAGTAAAATGTAGGGTATGCAGGGTAGATTGATCTTAGTAGGATAATAGGTCAGCACAACATCGTGGGCCGAAGGGTCTGTACTGTGCTGTACTGTTCTATGTTCTATATTCTCTGTTGTTTTATGTTTAAAATCGCAGTTGAGGGAAGTTGTATTCTGTTGAGGGAGAAGTAGTTTAGATTTCAGCTTAATGACTTTGCAAAGTGTTTCCAGTATTTTCTATTTTTTCAAACCTGATCCTAATCAATTGGAAAGGTTAGACAGAATTTTTGAAGATTTTCTAAGCCAACAGAGCCCTGGTAGACACTGTAAAATATTATCCTTTAACCAATAGTTGTTATCACTGTGACATACATGCTGCTTTCCCTCTTTGATGAGAACAAGACATTGGTTTGAAGCAGAAGACCCTTCTGAATCAACTTTAATGTCTTATTGTCATCCCGGCTGAAGTGAATATCATTCTCAAAATCAGAATAATGTTGAGTTGCTGAAAAGATCAGCACAAATTTCTTTCACCAGCAGTCAATATCTCTGCTGCTGATTTCACAGCTTCCTGCTCATTATCTGCTTCCATTAGATCTTACAGATTGAATGTATTTTGCTCCAGATTGTTCCTGTAAATGGTTTCTGGACACACGGTTTGTTTCAATTCTTGCAGACTAATCGACTTTTGAATTTCTTTGCCGGAAGAAATATTGAATTAAGTGAGTGTGAATATGTGAATGTCCCTGCCAAGGATTAAATGTTTATTTTACCACTATTTGTTTGGAGTCTTAACCTATAGGCCTTAACCTATTGAGCATTAATGGTTTGGATACGTTAAATGAATGGAAGAAATGGTGCGAGGAGGTGATATATTGATCCTAGAAACTTATCTGAGTTATCAATCCACTCCTTTATTCAGGATAAAACAATAGAAAAAGTGCATTTAAATCAGAAAAGAGTCTGATGCTGCCTGACCTGCTGGGCTCTTCCAGTTCCACATTTTACCAACTCTGACTTCCAGCATCTGCAGTCCTTACCATCTCCTAGACTGAACTTGCTGTCTGCAGGGACGATTGTCCATATTC